TTTAATTTATTTTTTTTTTTTTTTTTTTCTTTTTCGTTTTCAAAGGGGAAATTCATTTGCGAGATACGCACTTGGATGAGCTTGCTTCGACATTAACGATAAGAAGATTGCATTTCTGTTGCAGTATTACGTTTTCTTTTCGATTCGTATTTTGTACAGTTTGACAGGCTGCACGGTGATCAAAGCGTTTGAATGATAAAAAAATGTCCGTACAATACGCGGTTCGTTATGCACGTGCGTAATCACCGCCGGTACGCCCGATTTCCTTTCAGTTCATAATCTAATCGATAATCAGGAATGTTTCAAATCGAATCCGCGCGTGTTCGGATTCTTCTTTTCTTTTCTTTTTTTTTTTTTTCTTTCTTTTTTTAACGAAATGTTAAAATATTCGCACCGATCGGCCGGGAAAATTGTTCACCACTCGAGAGTTTCTTTCTTCAAAAATTTTCCCCCCTTCGAAAGAGGGGATTGATCGAAACATTGTACAGTTTCGTTTTTATTTCAAAGCGTTATGCAACGCGAAACTAGGACAATCTCAAAGCACACACACACACACACACACGATCGAAACTATCGCGAGCATAGTCGAAACACACAGTGTCGCAGAAATTTCCTCGTTTTCCGCGTTTCGTTTTTCGCACGATGACGCGCGCGTTCGAACGTGCGCGAAATTAAAACGCCTCGTCAGGTCGCAGCCGCGCGCTTTCCATCAACTTTTCTCGATGCTCGACGTTTTCGCTTCTATGGATATTTTTCAAACCCGCTCGCTTTTTTTACCCTCCCCTTCCCATCGACCGGCCGCGTATAAATAGCCGCGAGAAAACGCGCCTCTGCTTTCTCCCCTCCCTCCTGCTCCTCCTCCTCCCCCCCACCTCCCCCCCATGCGATAAATCAAACGCGAGCGAATTTATTTATTAAAATTGTTTTATATATAATATATGTATGTATATATCTATTTGTGTTTTACAATGTTAAACTACGTTAATCGGTCTCGTTTAAATCCTCTGTATTCACAGATGCTCTCTTTCTTTTCGAAGCAGGGAGACGTGGTTTGGCGATGCTCCTGTCATGTGCAGGATGCGAGAAACCAATAATGGATCAGTACCTGCTGAATGTTTTGGACCGAGCGTGGCACGTCGAGTGCGTCCGCTGCTTCGATTGCAGAACCACGTTGCAGGACAAGTGTTTCTCGAGGGAAGCGAAGCTATTTTGCAGAGAGGATTTCTTCAGGTGAGTCTTCAGAGTCTTCTCCTAACAACTTTTGCATCTTGCCGAGAGTTGAGACGCGGCTTGAAACGGCGCAAGAATCACGCTGTTCGAGTTTGGCGAATTTGGCGAGGGATGATGACGTTCGAATACGAACGATACTTCGAGATCGATTATTATTTTCGCGTTAACGTATTCGTGTTCGAGATCGAGCAGCTTTCGTAAAGAAAAGGCGGGGAAACGAACCTTATCATTTTCGCCATTCTCAATCCAAATATTCGATCCGAAACATTTTATAAGGATACATTTCAAATCAATGTTGCGACTCTGATTCAAACCGAACACTCGAGAATCGATCAACTACTATATATATATATATATACATTGACGAGCCCGATATAGGGGGTAAAAAGTTGCTGGTCGAAACAATACGAACAGGTACGAACGAAGCCGAATTCGGTTAGTAATTCATCGGAGCAACTTGTTCTACCTCCAGTTCTACGTGATAATTATCGCTCGTTTCATCGATAAAACTTAACACGATCGATCCTCGGTGGAGGAGAAGTCGTGGAATTTTTTTTTTTCTCTCCCCCTTCGAGCAGAAGCTCGTATATACCGGCATCAACCGACTGTTTCCCGTTTGCATAATTAAATAATTGGCTGTGTCACAACTGGTACCAACCAGGCGACGAACCGCTCGAAGAAATCGAAAGATTTACGACGCATTAGGGGGACAATCGCGGCGACGTTTGTTGTCCGTTGATATTTCTTTCCTTTTTTTTTTTTTTTCTTTTTTTTCGTTCGCTTTTTACGATTAGAAGATTAGTCGATAGGTGGTGGGCAGACGGTGGTGAGCAGAGGCGAGGCGAGAAGAGAGAGAGAGAGAGAGAGAGAAGAAAAGAAAAAAAAAGCATTTCGAGCGACGAATGGAAAGGAGGGCCTTGACATTTTCCCAGACAGCTCCCGTCGTTATTTCACTCGATCGAGCTTCCGAGGCAAAAATCTCTCGCTCGATCGAAAGCGAACGAACGAAACGCTATCGCGATTCGTTACGCGGTTCCACCGACGTTAGTATCGTATATCCGGATACGGGAGTCGATTTCTTCGGTGGCGATTCGACAGACTTAGAGACTCCGCTTTCTTGCCACCTTTCAGAGTAGAAGCGTTAAATGGAAACATCGAACTCCGCCCGCTCTCTCTCTTTCCCTCTCTCGCTTGCCCTTTTGCGCCAAGTTTTCGGCATAAATCACTCGAGAAATAAAATTCTAATTAACGAGACCGCGTTGAAAAGGAACTCGCTCGTTTCGATAATTCGTTCTTTGCATCTATCGGATCGGGCGGGATATAATCCGTGCGATTCTTGTCACGTCTTTATCCAAAACGAAAAGAAAAAAAAGGAAAAAAAAAAAAGAAAAAAAGGAAGAAACGGTGCAAAATCGTAAACTAACTAACGATTCTTATTTGTGACAAGGAACGAGGGAATCTTTAAAGGAAGATCGTCAGTCACGTCGTGGAAGATTATTGCGAACGTATTGATTTACGAACGTGGTTCGGTAGGGAATATTTATGATGCGGTTTGAATCGATGATCCCAAGTGACTCGGGCAACCAGAACGGATGCGAAAAAATAGCGCAGTGTGGATCGGTGATTTTGAATGCGCGAGCGAGATTCTTCTCGGTTTCGCGAGAACTCTCGTCCTTGACACTCGCGTGAAAAAAACCGATCCGAAAGCGAGAAGATGCTCGAGTTCCGCTTCGTTTCGAGCCGGTAATTTTGTCGCGATTCGAGAAGGGACAAAGAAGTGGTAAGAAGTGGTCGTCGATCGGGGTTAAATCAGATTAAATCGGGATCGAGAACGTTGGAATTTTCACGTTGATCCGGCCGGTATTCCTCTCTTTCTTTCTTTCTTTCTCTCGCGATTATACAGTTGAAAACGGCGTAAGTATCTGTTAAATAATATTTAACGGACCGGAGAGTACGATCGCGGAATCGTGCAGGAGGGAGAAAAAGTATCGCAAAAACTCTGTGACGAATGACGGTGCACGAAGGGCTTGCAGCTCGATTATATACGCGAGAGTCGCGTTAAAAATAAAGGTCAAAGGGAGAAACTTTTGGTTTTTTGGCTGCGCCGCGTAGATTAATTTCGTTATCTTTTACGTCTAATCAAGAGTATTACAATTTATCGAACGGTGTTTCGAGAGACAGAGGATTCGCGAGTCAAGGGAATTAATAAAAAGAGAGTGTGAAATATAATTGGAATAGTCGCATCGACCGATGACAAATTTCCATGGAACGACGATATTGATGACTTGTTTACCACGAATAAAAATCATCCACCTTCCCGATTCTTCGAGACTCTCTCTCTCTCTCTCTCCTTTCGCGACTTCTGGAAGCGATGAACGATCCCCTTTGTAGCCAAGGGCCCGAGAACGCGCGGAAAGTGGGGAGGGCGTTTAAAGGGGGGCCCTTTGATACTTATACACGAACGAGTGTATAACGAACGTGTTGTATACTTTACGAGCCACTTTGCATTCATCCCGATGAAAAATTCATTAGATGTAAGACGAACGGTTGGCTACGCTCGAGCGGCGTAGAAAAGCTTTTCGGGTCAAAAATAACTCGATCCCCGGCGTCCCGTTAATTAGCGTTATCCTCTTTGCTACCGTTACACACTGTGGAAACAGCCGATCGGCGATCACGCATTCTTTTAAATCGCCTCTCGGGATAACCACGCTTGCCACCACGCGCGCTATGAAAAATCGCCAGTTCGGGAGTTTCGCGAAACGACGAGAAACGCAAAGTGCGGAGAAGCAAAACGATAGAAGCAGACGATTCCCAGGACAATCGTGTCTATCGATGTCGGATCGAACTACAACCCCTCCCACTACGGGAGGGAATCGCCGTTGGGAATAGCGTAACACCTCCGGGAGGTCCGAGGCATGGTTGGAAGGAACGGTACGCACGGTTATGGTAACCGGCTCTACGAGTCGCAGCAAGGTCCTTAAAGGTCGATAATGGCCCATGGGGGCCCGAAAGGGTCCAGGATCAAAAGAACCGATGTCCCCGTTTCAGCGCCGCCTCGACTGCCGTAGCTTGCGGTCGATGGCCCTCTGTGTACCCACCAAGAAATTATTGCCTTAAAATATGGTCCGCCACGTCGTCGAAATACGCCCGATGAAAACATTAACTCGAGGCTAGGGGCGAGATGTGGCGGTGTCAACGGTGAGTCGAGACTCCTGAGAGCGCCTTGTCGCTGAATAATCGGTCGCCAACAGTCGGTCGGATTTCGCTTCTTTCGTGGTTCTTCTCGAAAAAGTATCTCTCTCGCGATATTCTACCAATTACACGTACGGCAATCGTACGCGCGCGATAATTTATCGAGGCATCGATGGCTCCGAGCATTTTTCTTCGGCCGAAATAAATCATAGGCAGCGGTGTTGCAACCGATCCGTGCATTCGAACCGTCGATAGAACGTCGAGAGAGGCGAGCAATAATCGCGATCATCTCCGTCGTTCCGATCCCCAATCGAATTTCGATACTACCGTCCACATTCTTCTCCCTTCCCAAACAAATTCGATCTCTCTGAATCGAGGATGGATACGGTTGAAAACTTGGCGTTAATTAACAGTGGACTTCGAATCTCTACCGTTGCCACGGTGGCCCGTTTCCAAAGCCTGATACGAGCCAAGTTCCGCGGGGAAAGCGCGGAAGACAGAAACAGGGACGATGGACCCCCCGGCTCGAAATCAAAGGGAAACGATCGAAACCGATCATCACCATCATCATCATCATCATCATCATCATCGTCGTCGTCGTCGTCATCATAGATCGGTGTAACTTTTCTCTCGAGAGTTGGAAAGGGCGCCGACGAGAGCGATCTCTCTCTCTCTCTCTTCTCTCTCTCCATTGTCCTTGCTTTCCACCCGCGGTGTTGGCCTCCTCGGGAGTAGACCCGTCGAAACTCGAACGTGGAAACATTATAAATGCGGCGTGACGCCCGCTACGAACCGTAGGAGAAGTTTGTTGGGCGTGACGGGGCCGGCGCGGTCGAGAACAGAAAGAGAAACGGGGGAGAGAAAGAGAGAGAGAGAGTGAGAGGGAGGGAGGAGTTAGAGGGAAGAAGAGAGAAAGAGGGAGCGAGAGAGGGGTACAGAGTTGTTTCCCTTCCAGGAAGGTACGGCAATAGTATATATCGCGATGCGTATTCATACGTAGGGAACGTTTTTGCCAACCACCGGTCTCTTGCGTCATACTCTCGAGACAGGACCCTGTTCTCTGTCATACGTCGTACGCGGCGTGGTCGAATTATTCTTTTCTCTCCCTCCTCCTTCTTCTCCTCCTCTTCTTCTTCTTCTTCTTCTTCTTCTACTCGTTCTCTCGACTTCTTTTTTTTCTTCTTATCAATTAACCAGTCGGGTCCTCGCGACAAAAGTTTAATCGGGATTACGTAAGTGGTGAGCGCGGTCGTAGCGCGGGTTCGTTTAACGATCGTTTGTCATCTCGTTACGCTTGGTATTTAGCCACGAATCGTGGAGAAAGTGGCACGGACGCCGGACCGATACCCGCGAAAGTTGGATGAGGAACGAGGACGAAGATGGAAAAGGACTTTATGCAAACGGCGCTGCGTTTCACATGGTGTCGCATGGCCAACGTCCACCCATTAGCATAACTGTTATGAACCGTTTTCTCAGCCTTCGTGCCTCTTCGCCCTCTTCGCCGCCCCGTTCGGTAATCGACCATATATTTCAGGAATTAATCGGCGCCAGCTCGAAACTGGTCCCGATTAACCGGGTTGCAACCGGGATCTTTCCGCGCGATAAAGTGAAAATCGACGACGAAGGAAAGGAGAAATGTCGTCGCCTCTCTCCCGAGCCGACAATCCAACGAATAACACGAGAGAATAATAATCGAGCGGGTGGAAAGAAATCGATCGGTCTCGAGAAGCGGAAACGAGCGTTTGTTCTCTCGCCCCGCTAATTGGATTCGGTTAATTAGACTTCCGCCGCCTGAGCAATCTCGCGGGTGTTTATTTCCTTTATCGGCGTATCCTTTATAGCGAGGCGTAGTAGGCGCATGCGCGCCGATGGGAACCGACACGAGTCGGATGGAAATTATGGGAGCGATCAACCGTTCGCGAAGAAACGACGAAAATTTTCCGCGAATATTCGAGTCGAACGATTGCGTCGAGGGAAAACATTGCTCGAAATCGATTTTCCTTTACGCGTTCTCGTTCGATCGGAGAATTCATGGTCGAGGCGGGTATCAATCGCGATCAAAAATCATTTTCTCCAATGATTTCGTTCTCTCCAAGGATTGTGGAACGAAGGAGAAAAAGTTTCGTTTCTCGACGAACAGCTTCCACATAGTTATATCGTACAAGGGACTGCGCGCATCGTGGTACGGATGGACGACGCGGAGAGGCGAGCACGCACCGTATACATAAACTCGAGGCTCCGTGGCAAATCGTGGCCCGGACCCACCCCCTTTTTTTTTTTTTTTCTTTTTATCCGAGGCCCGCTGTCCTATATTTCTTGCTACACGCCAGAATTCCTGGCTCTTTACGCTCTCCTCTTTAAGGGAGCCCGAGAAGACCCCACACCCCCTTCCTTCTTCTCGGGACGGCGGGTCGCCCTGATCGAACCGCTTTCTCACACAGCCACGAACCAGCCACGAAAGCACCGCGTAAGCCTTTCTATTAATGATTTTTACGGCCGGCCTCCGTTCTTTTTCTTCCGAAGAGGAAGAAAAGGACCTGGCCGGGCGCTGCTGCCCCTCGCGCGGGCTCTCAAAGGAAAAAAAACGAGAAAATCGGCAGACGCGCGTCCATCGACGAGGAAAGGGCGGCGAAGAAACGGCGTGGGGCGGAGAGGTGCAGGAGGAAGGAGTCGGTGATTCGGTGACGTATGCATTCGGGAAGGTTGACACGGGATCGGCTAATTGCTATAATTAATTAAATAATTCCTGTAATTAGACTAGAGGGATTGTGCGGGCGAAGGAGGGAGGGAAGGGAAGGATAGGCGAGAAGGGGAGAAGAGCGAGGAAAGGGAGGGAGAACGCTGCTCTGGCAGCGTAATGACCGTTGGTCGAGAAATATCTCCAGCTTCTGCTTCCGTGAGAAGATTGTTAGGAACTGCGAGTAGGACTGCTAATTTGGACAGGTTGATGAATAGTTTGAAAAAGTGTGCCGGTTGATTATAGGATATTCCGCGTAAATATCTATAGATGATCGCGTCGATCGACAAAACGGAATCCTTGTAATTTGTACTCTCTTTTCCCCACCGCTTGCCTCCCCTTTGCTCTAAGCAAACAAAATTCCGCGCCTGTCGTTTCCACTGTAACCGAACGACCACGATCGTCGTCGTCCACTACGAATGATCCACGACGAGAGAGAGAGAGAGAGAGAGAAAGAGAGAAATAAAAAGAGAATAAAAAACACTCGTCTCGTTTGTCTTTCTCACGACGAGGAATCTTGCGAATTTTCTTCGTTCTCGTGGTAAACGGAGATTCGAAGAGATCTCGGGAAGCAACGAACACGAAAAATAAGAATGGACGAGATTGGCGCGATGTAGGTGGCGTTGCGGACGGTTTCGAGGAACGCGCGGGATAATAAAATAGCGGTGGCGAGGTGAACCGATATTATACGCGCGAGCAACGGGAAAATTCTGGGAGAGAGAGAGAGAGAGAGAGGAGTCATCGGGGATTTGAACGCGAACACGTTTCGGGATCGCGGCTCTCGTCGGAGGTGAAACGCGAGCACTGGCCTACCTCGTGCCTGGCCATCGATTGAGATGTATATTTACTTTCGAAAGGTGGCACCACCCCTAAAGGGACCACCGGGTAATTGCTATAATTAATCCGCGTGATTCCTGTAATTAAAAAGATTACCACGGGTGGAAAGTATGCGATGCTTCCGTAATAATAACACGGAAGGATCGGACGGACGAATCCTTTTCGGTTAGATTTATTGACTTCGCGCGCCGCGCGTGAAATGTGTTGCCGCCATGTCGTTGGACGTTGCGTGGATGTTGCGAAAGAAAAAAGAAAAAAAAAAGAAAAGGGCGCGTACGTTCTTTTTCGTGTAAATCGTCGCCTATCTTGCGCCTCGTAATTCTTTCTTTCTTCCTCCTTCCCTTTTTTTTTTTTTTTTGCTCGATCGATCTTCGGAAAAACGGAGCGGTTTACGACAAAGAAACGATCTCGTTCAACGAACGATTAGGTAAAAGAAGAAAAAAGAGAGGGGAGGGAGAAGAAAGAACGGCTAATACAAAATTAACGGCGGAATTAAAGGAATAAAAGGGAGGGAGGGAGGGAGAGAGAGAGAGAGAGAGAAGGAAAAAGAAAGAAAAAGGAAAATCGAACAGGCGCTGGCGCTGGTTACCACGTTGCGCTTTTACAGCACCGAAGGGTTTTAACTTTTTATGCCCTATCGGGACGTTAAAGTCCCATCTCTTTAAAAGCGCCATATTCTTTTATCGACGTTTGCGAGTGGAGCGGCTTAATGACAGGACTTGTAAGTTTCGAGTCCAATAAACGTCGTCGACGTACAACATTGACTTTCCTTTTCGTTCGTTTCGTTCCGAGTCGCGTCGACGAGTGTCCACGTGTTCGCGATTGTTGATCGCCGAGGGAGGAGAAGAAAAAAAAAAAAAAAAAAGAAGGAAAAAGAGGAAAAAGAGGAGCGAGAAAAATAAAAGAACGCGAAGACTTATGACTATTGGAACGAACGTAAATCGAAGAAAAGTGAATTTTATGTATCGCGTCGCGTTTACGTCATATCGAGCGTTGAACAGAGATAAAAGAAACCGAAGAGCGAGAGCGAGAAGCGAAAAAGGTAAGATTCGAGAGAAGGCGCGAAACTCGCGACGAACGGAAAAACCGCTTCGAACGATTAATCATCGCGAGGTGACGCGCGCGCTCGTTATCCGATGTTTCAGCGCTTCCTGGTCGTGGACGAGCTTAAAAGAAAGAAAGAAAAGAAAAAAGAAGAGAGAGAGAGAGGAGAGAGAAGAGAAAAACTTCGTTGGTCGTTATTCACGTGGTTGGTTGCGTGGCGTTCTGTTGCAGGCGATACGGGACGAAATGCAGCGGTTGCCTCCAGGGGATAAGCCCCCAGGATCTCGTGAGGAAGGCGAGAGACAAGGTTTTCCACCTGAATTGCTTCACCTGCCTGGTGTGTCGGAAGCAGATGAGCACCGGAGAGGAGCTCTATGTCCTGGACGACAACAAGTTCGTGTGCAAGCAGGACTACCTGTCGGGCAAGCCGCTGCCGGACACGCATCACGTGCACGGTCATCATGGTGAGTTACAAGTGTCATTGTCCCTCGTTATCCACCGCGAAGAGAAACACCATCGCGAGGCGGAGACAATCCGTGTGCGCGCCGCTTTGTTCCGTTCGTTTGCCCGGAATCCGATTTGCGGAACTATATACCGGTATTGCCGGCTCGCGGCATGTTATCGATTCTACACCCACTCGTTTGTTCTATGAACGGGCGCGATTTAAAACGATCGTAATTTCGTAGCCGATGCGCGGCCATGTGCTCCTGCGCGTAAACCAAATCCGTTGTTACGTTATTCCTTTTCCCCATAGGCGTAAATGCCTAATTCGTATCGCGTCGGAGGGATGCCGATCGACGTCCTTCGAGCCAACTCGTTCTCCGTTCCAATTTTTTCGAAAAATAAATTCGGATATTATTCGCCTCGCTTTCTCCCTCCCCTCCCCCATTTTTCTCCCCCGATCTCGATAGGGAATAATTCGCGCCTCGCGACGCGTGAACGTTCGTTTAAAAAGATAAAGCGCGTCGAGATTTCTAACTTTTTTTTTTTGGAAGAAAAAATAAGGAGTCGAGAGAGAGAAAGAGAAGAGAGAGAGAGGGGGAGGGGGGGGGGAGCTCGACGAGGCTAGAAGAGTCGCACGGGGGAGGGAGCGCACGGTTCAACGCGTCCAACGCGTCCGAGATTTCACGAAGTCAGGTTCGTTTAAAAAAAAAGAAAGAAAGAAAGAAAGAGAGAAGGGATGGGAGGGGGGGAGAAAAAAAGAAGGGAGACCGGGGGTAGGTTTTTCACGGGGGTTTTATCCTCCGGTTGGAACGGCACAAGCTGTGAAAACAGCGCGCGTGTAACCGACCGCCAGCCACTAGCCGAAAGAGAAACAGAGAAAGGGAGGACGTGAAAAAAAAAAAGAAAAAGAGGGGCAAAGCGCGCGAGAGCGAGCGAGAGGGAATGGAAAAGAGCAGCAGCTCGGTTTCACGAGGATCTCGCCGGTGTGTAAGCCGTGAAACGAAAACCGAAAGGTCGTTAGGCAGGGGCAAACCTTTTGTCGCTTCGATGCCGACGCTTCGAAACCGCAAAATGTCCGACGACTCGTTTTCTTTTCCCTTTTTCTTTCGCCACGGGAGCGCGCCGCGTCTCCCTTTTCTCCTTCGAAAATGCAAATTTGCGACGAGACGCGTCGTCCTCCCTTCCAACGTCTCGAGACGCTCGCCACGACCACCACCCTTTTTTTCGGCCGAGAAAAATTCCACGTACTCGGCGAATATTTTTCTTTTTTTNTTTTTTTTTTTTTTTTGCGCCGCGCACTTTTTCCACAATTCGAGAAGAGACAAAAGTCGAAAAGGAGCGCTCGCGAAAAGTATAGGTAGGGTACGGGGAAGGAGGGGGAGAGGGACGACGATTACTCGTTTCGATGATCAAACATCGTGACGTCTGGATATTCCACGCGTTTCCGACATTAATCTCTATCACCGTGCAGCCATTTGTCAGTTGTCGAATTCACGGTGATCGTCTGCGGCGTATGCGAAAAGCGCAGCAATTACGCGACGAGTGTCGATTAATCAGCAACGTTTATCGATAACTTTTAGCGTCTTTTGTCGCTGGATACGATCGCGAAATTGCGTAGATGCGCGGGAGGTGTGGGAGGAGAAGGGGGAATTGCGAAATTTAAAAGAGGAAAAAAAATGAACGGGTACCGCGATGGCGCGCGCCCCGTGCGTAGGTCCACGAGCGGATAACCGTAATCACGTTTAATTGGTAATTTCGTATGGAACATCGACAAATTCACTCCGTTCCGTTGATAAATTATATTCTATTTACTATAGCGGATATTTTCGCCGCTCCGCTACATCTAAAGTCGACGTTGATCGATGCAATTATTTTTTACAACGAAATTTTTACACACAGCTACGCGATCACCGGTCGTTCCCTCGCATCGTGATAAGTCGTTCGACGAGAATTATCTACGATTCGTGAACATCTTTTAGGTCTTTTCCCCGAGGGGACCGATCGAATCGCTGATTTCGAAAGGAATTCGATCCCGAAATTTAGCGCGGGGTTTCTTTTCGCGCGTCGAAGCCCTTTGCGTAGCCTGTAACGAAAACAAAATCATTGAACAGAAAAGTGACTGGTGCTCTTTTCGAAGTCAATGATTCGACGAGCGATGTGATTAAAATACACGATTCGGATCGTTCACGAGCAGAATCGTCCAACCTGTCGACAGGAGGAGACTCGTTGATGGGTTCAGGATCGGAAGACGAGGACGAGGACGGTAGTGCTCACCATCATCACGGTGGTGTCGGTGGCCCGCACTTGGGCCCTCACAATCTCGGTCCAGGTGGTCCTGGTGACCAAACGGTCGGTCATACTGGCGATCTACCTCTTGGAAGCGATCCTTGCAAGCAGGAAGACTCCGAGGATCAAGGTAGGTCCATCTTACATCCGACTTTAATTAAAAAACCTTTTTCTTTCTTTTTTCTTTTAACGCAAATTTTATACGCACCATTTTACGCTCCGTTTCGTTGGATTGGGATGTAACGATTCGCGAGAGAAATCGAAAAAGTTCAAGTCGAACGTGAGAGAAGGAAGAGAAGAAAAAAAATTGTCGTCAATTTGGCGCACAAACTCGATTCAGAAACGATCGACTGGGATCGACCAACGACTTAATCACGGCCAATCTTGCCCTTTCGTGGAACCCTCGAAACGAGGGAGGAAATTCGAGGTGGCTTGACCTGGAACGTCACCACGAATTACTAAGCGCGTCAGGTCTTCCCGGCTCTATTATTCGCTTCTGCTCTTTTATCACGAGCGCGCGTAACACAATGACCCCTCGGTTTTGCCTCTCTCGAACCGAGAGCTATACACCGGGTACAAGCATCTATATACCGTGCTATTCGGCAAAGAGGAAGAGAGGGGTGTCTTGGCGAAGGGTGGCCCCTGTAGTGCGGTGTGACACTGTCCAAACATTTTCTTTGTCCCGTGGTTAAGACCTCCCTGGGTATATATATATATATATATATATATATTATCGTAGAAGTAGGTT